GATTGACAGGCGGACTCCCGTTCCAGCGGCAGGTAATAGTTGCCTGCCCGGCTCCCTTATCAGCCGAACAATGGCTGCGACATCCCCCCACTGCCACTCCCACTCCCATACCCACTCATCATTCAATTTACCACGCCACGCCGAAAAATCCATACAGATATATTGATATTTTCATAACAAAAGGTTTTCGGTGTCGGTTTTGGGTGTCGTGTTTTGGTTTGGTTTTTCGAGCAAACAGCCACAAATTTCCGGTGTGTGCGTGCATATTATGCATTTATCGTTGCCATCTATCAGTGATGCAAAAGGAGAGGAAAAACACACACAGGAACTCTTTTCCCTGGGCGAAACATATTGTCATCGCTTCCACCTTGCCACCTTTCAATTTTCCCCACCATCTGTCTTTCTCCATCACTCCGACTCCCTCCCACAGCGGCACACTCCAAAAAAATATGGTTTCTGAATATTAAATATGGTTTTTTGCCCCGTCAAATGTTCAACACATAGTGGAACCGTTCACCCGGCCAGCTTTCAATTTTTCCCTCAATCTGTTTTAATTTAACAAAAAGGTTTTTTCAGGTAAATAAATCTTCTTGTAATGGTATTGAATTGAAAAATTGGAAAAGCTTTGTGAACGAGAAACAATTTTTATAGCATTAAAAAACGCTTTAGCGAGGACCATTATTGTTTGAGTTTTAAATAATTCTTTATTTGTGAAATTTAAAAACTGTGCAGCTCAAAGATACTTTTAAAGCATTAACTGTGTATAATTTTCGGGAATCAGAGAAGGGAAAATGAACCTTTTGCTGACAAATTGAAATTCAAAACTTTGCCCTGGCAAATCCTGCCAAATAATTGGCTTAAGAACAAGTACAGAGACAAATGTCCTTGGGCATGAAAACATCTTAAGCTTAAATACTACTTCAAGGTAAACGGACAATGCATTATGTTGGCAGAATAAAATTATGCCGATTTTAGACATCTCCATTTACTTGTGCCGCTGAGGAAATACGTTTCTGTAAGTGTGCCATTTCTCACTCGCCTTCGTTCTCAGTTGTGTTTGTGTGACTAATGACGCCGTTAGGTAGGCAACACTTTCTTCGCACACCCACGAAAAGGGACTTCCCCTCCCCCTCCCCCTTCCACCGCCTTACATGCATATCTGCATATGTAAATGTAATTTTATAGCCTGCTTCGCCTCGCCTTTTCCCTTTCTTTGCTGAGCTGTTCTTTGTGTGTGGGGAGGACACACATTATTATTTTCGCACACTCGACACATTGTCTATGTGTGCGTGCCTGTACATCATGCGCTTATGCGTGTGAGCGGCATGTAAAATTTGTTTATTCAATTTCAACTAGGCAAACAACGCCGCAACGGCTGCAGCGGCACAAAGGGCGATAACTCACTTTCGTAACAAGTAAACTAATTATTTCTTCACTTTTTTCAGAGGCTTTCTTCCCCTTCCCCTCTTCCCTCTTATCGTACTTTTTCCTCTCTTTTCGTTTTGTTTTTCTCAAGTTGTTGTTTTATGCTCGCCTTGAAAAAAGGGGTGGGGACGTCCTGTCGGGCGGGTGGGGATTGTTAAATTGCAAAATAATGTACACACTTGCTGCTTGTAATCGCCTTTGCTGCTGTTGTTGTTCTTACAGGCTCTAACTGCTTGTTCAGGCCATTGTGCTTGTTCATCATCATCAGCATCATCATCGCTGACACTCGCACACACAAACACACACACACACATACGCATGTTCGTTAGGGTGAACCGCCATATGCCAAAAAGTTAGTCAATTTAAGTCGCATTTCCTTAAAGGGCTTGGGATCCTGCGTGCAATTAACGTACTCCCACCAAATTTAATTTAAAATGTGGCTCTTTGAAAAAAGTCTTCCCAAAATTACGTATACGACATGTAATCCAGTTAAGAATTTTTGCATACTTATAAAGTTTTAAACTGTGTATGTGATACTTGTGAGAAAAATGTAAACATATAACCAGAAATCTAGAATTTTTGCATTTAATTTAGATATGTTTTGCTCTAAAATTCTTAAGGCTACCAAGATCCACTCTAATTTTGACACACATTCAACCTCGGGCGCAATTAACGCATTCACAAATGAAGAGTGTCAAGGCTCCAGTCAGTCCACCAGTTACATTGTCAGTTTGGCAGCTTTTCGCCCTTCCTTTTCCATTTCCTCGGCCCGTGTCTTCGTTTTTTTCTATTCTTCGCCAGCTTTTCGGCCCGGTCCCCCGAAAAAGGCGCTGCTCAAGTCCTTCCATCGAGATAAAAGTTTTTTGTACGCCTGCCAGAGGGAATGCCAAATGTATGACAACACTTTCGTGAATGTGTGCGGATGCGTGTGTGCGGCATGCGGCATGTGGCATGTGCCACGCCGTGATGGCCACCATCAGGCAGGTGTAAGTTAGTTAGTCTCGGATCCCCGCCCTCATTCCTGGCAAATTACACATTCTCTCATGCATTGTGCCATCAAATTTGAGGTACTTAGGCAGCTAATGTTCGCGATGAGGGAAATTTTCGGAATCATTTGTTGCATACTTTAGATAAGACACCCACAAGATGTTTTCGGGGACACCTCAAGGGAGGTAATCAAATGAAATGGCCTCGGCTTACGGGCTTTCTGACGGGCAGTGCTAGAGATTAATCTATAGATTGCGACATTATATTATAGAGATTTGAGAAAGGATATCTGGGAATACTACTTAAATATTTATCATTTGTTTTCATTCATGCTTGTTCTCTGCAACTGTCTAGATGACAAATAACTTAAGGACATTTGAGTGGCAAGTGGATGTATCAGCTTTTTGCAGACGTCCCTTTTCATTTGCCAGAAAGTTGCCCGAAAAAGTAGCAAAGTTTTGAGTATTTGTGAGCCTCATTTACCTTTGATAGGTTGTCAGGGCAATCACAAGTTAACTACCCATATTAAATGCCCCGAAATTATCAAAGATTCTTTTCCAGAAAAACTTTTCATGGCCTGAAAAGTTTGCGTCTCTTAAAGAGCGAAACTTCGGGCCAAGTCCATTACCAGAATTTAAGTCGCTCCCTAAGCCCTATGTAGTGCGGAGTTTTTTATAGTTGCGCTGTTATATTCCTTTTAAAAAGTTGAAACTCAATTTGAGGCGTTGGTGACCACACCTTTTGCTGGTTTCCCTCGGCGGGATGATCCCTCGCAGTCGTGCCGTCAGCGTAACGAGCCTATTTGCTATGCCTCATGCCCCCGGAAACCGCCTGGTTCTTGTGTAATATTTATGTAAATTTCGCCCTAGCGCAGAACTGGAAAGGCGTAATGGTCCTGGGTCGCAGCAGCCTTCGCAGCCTTTGCAGAAGGACCGCCCACCGCCCCCCGTCGACCTTCGCCCACTTTGCATACGACTCGCTACGCAACTCCGCAACTTTACTCCTCGTGCTCGTGCGTGTTTCGGTTGGCTTCTCGTAATAAATGACAACGAGCATATTACGCTCTATAATCGAGTGGAAGAGAATTATTTTGTGTGAACTAATTGCATTAGTGACATTCAATTTGATGCCAGGCAAATTCGGGGGGAGGGTGAAGGGTTTGGGGGAAAATGAGCGACAACGAAAAGCACATGGAAAGCGAATCAGGGAAAACAACGTTAAATGGCAATTGTCACAAAGGGCCGGGATTTCTGATAGTCGATCCCCTGTCGCTGCTCTAGTTTCCGTTGCCACATCGTAGTTTATTCTTTCCCCATTTCCCCCACTTTCCCCGCTTTTCCCGCTTTCCCTGTTTTGTGTTCGGCGCAGTCAAGCAAAAAGCTGCGCCTGTCGCTGATTTAGGAAAGGCGACCCAAAGCCAAAGCCGAAACTAAAACCAAGGCCCAAAACCGGAGGCCCGAGACCCAAGGACCAGGAAAGGGTCCTTTCCAGGAAAAAAAGAACGTAACCGGGTCACCGCTTGGGCAATCATGTGAATCGAGCTCTTTATAATTTGCGAAACTATGTGAGCTGCCCCAGCGAGGGTTGCTAGGGATGTTCCTTTTGTGTCCGGATTATCTTTTATAGGAATAACAAACATAAAGCGAGGTGCCCGTTTTATGGCATTTTAAGGAGCTTTTTAGAAGCCAGCTTTCGGAGTTTCAATGGAGGCCTTTTTCTTAAAGATTGCTCCATTCTCTTTGAAGACATTTACGTGAAATCTCTGCACAACGGAGATTCAAATAAATATAAAACTCTCCGATAAGAGCAGTATGCGTGTATTTTGAGAACGAAACTTTTTCTGTAGGATTACTGCGAGGCATGGGTGCAATTCAGATAAGAAGTAAATCTAATCAGATTCGAGAACGGTATTTATGCAGGATTTAATCAGACAAGTGGAAGGAAGCTGAAACAGATTTATAAGTGGCCAGCTTTGATTGACCTTTGCATAATGCTGGCGCCATATTATGTTACCTTCGAGTGCCACTAAAAGGCTATAAATTCAGCAAGAGAAAGCAGGTAAAATCCCGATAAACCATTTAAACCCTCCTCGTTGTCCTTTGTGGTTTCTCTGTGAGTGTGTGGTGGGTATACCCCTGATCTTTTGAGTGTGTGTTTGTGTTTTTTTGGGTGTGTGTGGGCAACCCAAATGAAAATAATCTTACATGTCGTTGACACATTTCGGAGCACTGCCAAAATGCCGGGTCTCCGCTTAGCGTTGCTTACCTGTCGTCCCAAAGCAAGTGGGTGAGCCATTGGAAAGAGAGAGAAGGAAAGAGAGAGAGAGAGAGAAAGAGACGTAAGTCAGGTTGCGATTAATTGGCTAACTAAGCTACTTAGGCGATCTTAATTAATATAATATATACAGTTTCTATGGCAAACTCAAAAGCGCAATAAACATTTTGTGGCAAGCGGAATTAGTCAACGGATTTTAGCGACTGATTGGGGTTAATGGCCCTGATAGAAACATACGTATTACATACTCTCAACCCGACTCCACTCCACTCGACTTGACCGGAGTCAAGACCCATCCCTGCGGATGCTCTCACCTGGTGTCCGGAGCAGATGGAGCCGTTGGGCACGCGCACCCGGAACGGACTGTGGACCGGGCAGGAGGTGCGCGGTCCCCAGCGGGACGAGGCCGCCTGCTGCAGCGACAGCGCCGAGCTGCACGGGTTGAAGAGCGCCGGCGGAGGCGGAATGCTGATCGAGCTGAGGCCGCTCAGGCTGCGGCAGTGGCCCAAGTCCCCGGCTGCGGCGGCGGCAGCGGCGGCGGCCGCGGGGCACTGGGGCACGCTCTGGCCGCTGCTGCCGACGCCGCTGCCGCTCATGCCGCTGCTGCCGCTGCTCCCGAGCAGCGACATGTGCGAGCCACCGGACATCAACGACTGTGATGTGAGCCCATGATGCTGGCACATGCCGATCGGTGGCGCAATCCCGCCGCCACAGGAGGTCACGCCGCCCCCCGCACTGGACCATTGGGTCGCTCCCGCTCCAGCTCCAGCTCCGGCTGCAGTTCCAGATCCGGTTCCGGGTCCAGTTCCAGATCCAGATCCGTGGCCGTGGCCGTGTCCAGTTCCACCCGCTGCTGCTGCCTGTGGGTCGCCGCCGGCGCAGTAGTGATCCACCGTAAAACTGTCTTGGCTACCAGAGCATTGCAGGCGGTGCGGGGGCGGTGGCGACGAGTGGCGCGGGTAAATGTTGCCTGTTGCCTCCTCCTATCTCCTCCGCCTCCTCCCTCTCCGCCTTCGATGCGGCACAGCCTCTAGCCCCTTGATCTGAGCTGTGGGCCAGGAGGAGTCGCGCCGAAGTTGCTGCTTCTGTTGCTGCTGTGTCGCGTTGAGTTGCTGCTCCTGCTCCTGCTGCTCAGCCCAACAAGCATCGCTCAATGCCTCTTCACCTCTTCTCTTGGGTAACTTGATTCAACTTTCTATTTGCTTTCTCCGCGATCACAGCTCTTCCGTCTCCTCCCTTCCATGAACAACAACTTCTACTATGATTAGTCAACAACGAGAAAGTGGGCGAGTTAAAAGTCTACTACGATTCGCTTTGTCGGGTGCTTATTATTGTTGCCGTCTTGGTTTTGTAATTGTTTTGGTTGTGTAAATTCTGTTGCTATCACCGGTGAATCATGTGTGTTTAACTTCGATTTCGTCCGCCTCCCACGACGCTTAATTTGGTGCGGCGATAAATTATTGTTTCCTTTTAATTGAGCCTGCCTGGGCAGCAAATATACCTTCTTTTGGTTTAAGCTATTTTAAATGCTTGGGTTTTACGTGCTGCAATTGATGCAATTAACTTGTTCATCACAATTGTAATTAATTTGTTGTTATTTGTTGTTAAGGTTTAACTTGGTTTAATTCTTTGTTATTGAGTTCTCTATATAGATGTGGGTTTTTAATTTGATGCAACTTTAGAGTTTAATTTTGAATTGATTTTGTCTTGTGGTTTTTGGTTTAGCTTTAGATTTTCAAATTTTCTAGCATGCGATTTCTGCAAAGGAAAATCGTTGAAAAGCTCAAAATTTAACGAAATTTATTCGACTGGGGAGTGTGGTTGGGTGTGCGTGGGTTTTTGGGTGTTTGGGTGTTTGGGGGGTGTTAAATATATATACAAACTCAGCACAGCGGAAAAAGGGAATGTCGGGTTTAAGGAATTCCAATTTTATGTTGCATACTGTTGAGGGCTATGCTCAAAAACGGCTGTTTCCGCATTTGATACAAATAAATTAGATATTTAATCCCTTAGACACACACCTGAACAATTGAAATTAGTGAAAAGGTAGGCAAGTTCGCATCCCCCTCCCCCAAATCTCCGCCCCCGAAAGCAATCAACGAAACAGATGGAGCCAAATGGAGCGTAATATGCACTGGGGAAAATTGATTGAGGAAAATTGAAACCTATTGTAGGAAAAAGAAGGGTGTAATGCGAAACAAAAAACAACCCAACATAACCCTAAAAATATCCATAAAATTCGCTACACACTTCTGTTCCAGATTTAATCAATTGTTGTCAGTACATAAAAGAGTTAAAAATCTCTGCTTCTAAGCCCCGCAATCTTCGCATTGTTTCTGTGTAGACAGTTCTCTATTCCGCGCCTCGTTTTAATTAAACGCACTGTCTAGGCAACTGAAAATGTGTATTTTATATGCCTCAGAGATAAAAATAAAAATTTACAATATAAAAACCTGTGTTGTCCCTGGGGGAGGAAACAGGACTTGGTGGGGTGGCAGAGGCGAAGGCAAAGGCAAAACAGAGCTTTTTATCTAAACGGTTCCAAAAGGCAATCGTTTGGGGAAAAAGCCTTAAAAATAAAAATAAAACCGGAACGGGGGCCGGGGGAAGAAAACAAGACTGTGAAACAAAAAGTGAAAAAAGAACATGGAACTCGGGAAATTATATGCGCTAATAAAGGCAGGAGGGCAGAGGGACAGCGGCGGGAGATAAAGAGGTCCGAAGGACCCCATCGCCGGGCAATTCCCAGGCGACTATCGGGACCGCAGGCGGAGACTATTTATGCTAAATAGTTTTCAACAAATTCCACACTGACTGCCGAAAGTCTGGCGCTGCCATCGAATTAAATTAAAACGGAATTGTGAATGCTTAAATAATATTCGCATAATAAAAGGACCCCACGAACCGGGAGGCGTTGAAATGTTTGCTTTTGGCGCAGCTTCCGCTGAATGCTAATGTGCCACATGCCGCCCATAATTGAATGGGAACGTGCTCGTCTCGTCCTGGCTTCGGTTTTCCTTTGGTTCTTGGTTTTGTTGTTGCTGTTGCTGTTGCTGTTGCTGTTACTGTTGGTGTTGTCTTTGTCCTGGGGACAAGAAATGCGGGGCAGGAAGTCAATTCAGCCAAGGACGTGGAAGCCACGTTGCCGTGGGAGCTGGAACTTTGCAGCGGAACATACGCGCTCAAAATAACCAAATTCAATTCATAAAAGATTCAAAAACCAACAAAGAAAATATGGCAAAAACAGCGAGAGAGCTGCAAAGCATAAAAGAAAGCAGAACGGAGAACGGAGAACCAAGAACCGCAGCCAGCCGAAAAAAAGGAAACCGAACTTAACAACTGAGTTGAGGTAAAGTGAGTTTTAGCAGTCTATCTGGATCCTGGAGGGCCACTGGGGCTTCGAGGACTCCCCGTCTAAACCACTGGGCTGCACTTGCTCCTTGGCAGAGAGGAGATGCGGTTCTGATGAATTTCCAAGTGGAAACAGAGGAAAATGAAAATGAAAGGAGGAAGCAGAAAGCAGAAAGCAGAGCAAATAAAACCACACGAATTTTTTATGCACAGTGGTAGCTCGGTAAATTAGTGTCTAATGAACATCAGTTTAGTTTTATTAGGCTAATAGCTTAATGCTAATCAAATACTTTAGTGCTTTTCTGAGAGTTAAAATCTATATTCAATTTAAAGCCTATTATCTAGAATAGGGTTTGGAGTGAAACAAATCAATTTAAATAGCAGATAAATATAAAGAGTTTAAAATAATAAAATCTGTTGTATTTAAAGGAGTGGAGAACTCACTAAATCATTAAAAAATATTTATATTTACTTGTATGAAATCAACTTTTTAATTTACTTTATCCTAAAGTGACAACCTTGAAATTGAAGAGGTGTTTTCTTTGACTCGTCCGAAAACGCAACTGTTGTAAATGAAAATTCTAATTTCCCGCGACCACTGTAGTTGAATTCTCTTGCAGCTTCTCTTCGCCTCTCCCCTTTTTCCCCGCCTCGCAGTCTTTGTGTATATATACACATTTTTGATAAGGCAAACGGAAATGGCATAGGAAGCGTTTGTCGGGGGAGTTCGGACGGGGGGTGCGGAAGGGGGCGGAAAGGGGGCGTTGGGCTGGGGGGCGGGGCTGTGCTGTGCTGAGTGCCAAAGTGAAGTGAAGCGAACTTCAGTTTGTTGAGGAATTCCAAGTTTGCAGGTGGGTGGTGGGTGGTGGGTGGATTTTCGTTTAGGTGTTCTATGCTTCTTTTTAGTACTTACTGCAACGAAATGTTTTAGCTGTGCGTATCTAACTCGTTGTTTTGTCTGTACTTTTACGGTTTTGTCTGGTTTATTGAATTAAAAAGTACATATTTCAGTTCTTTATTTATTGTTTTATTTTATTTCTCTTGTTGCTTGCACTGGCTGTAGATTGTCGGGATAAATTGGTTTAAATTAGTTTTTGTTCAGCACCGATTTAATTTGATTTACACCGCACACACGCACACTACACACACGCATTCACGTAGGCGAAATGCGATTAATTTAATTCAATTTGAAGAACGAATTTTGGTGGCGCGTTGGAGAAATCATTGATAATCGTTTTTGGCAAATCGATTTGGCAATGCGGTCGAAATGGTCGCTCTGCTGCCGTCGCAGCTGGCGTCGCTGCCTTATCCTTGTTGCGGTTGTTGCTTCTCCAAGAGCGAGAAAAATCTCTCGAGAGAGCGACAGGAGCTGGAACTCCCACACATACACACCAGGAGCGAAGAGAGAGGGCGCGGGGGGAAAGGCAAGAAGCTGACCGGATCGGACAATATGCAAAAAAAGAAGGGAAACCAGAGAGGCTGCGAAAAAAGTCGCCAAAATGACCATGCACACTTCGTTTTTCCTTTGGCGTAAATTTTAAGGTTATTTTTTCAGCGAAAATCAATGATTTTCCCTTTCTCATTTTTATGTTGCCTATTTTTTTGCGCGCAACTTTTCCGAGTAAAGCAAGTGTTCACTGCTTGCAATTAAAAAGTTTTGGTAGTTTTTTCGCCATCCAAAACTTTAACTTGGCTTTTCCTTCAGTTTTTCTTGAGTTTTCTTGGTGGTTTTCCTTCTTTTTTGCATTTTGCTGCGCCGTATGGCAACTCACTGGTGTGTGTGTGTTTTTTCGATGTGTGTTTTGCAGCAGCCGTAGTGCTTGCGTATGTGTGCGTGCTGCTGCTGCGGGCGCTGCTTGCTGCGGCTACTGCTGCTGCGGATGCTGCTGCTACTGTATACCCGTGCTGTCCAGGCAAGGGCTCGCGTTAAACTGGCACAGAACCAGTCAGCAAGGTGCACAATTATAGACTGAATCCTCGAGTCCTCGGGTCCTGCCAGCATCCAGCTGAAGTCCTTGCTCTCGCTTTTTCTCTCTATCCCTCTCTGCACTGCTTGTCCTTGCTCCCACACACACACGCTCTCTCCTGGTCTGGCCTTGCCTTCTCGCTCTCTCCCTCTCTGGCACTTAGCTGAATGCAGCCTACTGCCCCCAATCAATTTCCTGTGGGCAAGCGAGACGACTAGTTTGTGCTGTGACTTGGTGGCCTGACTTCTGCGCTGCCCGCTGAATCTGTTATGGGATGCAGGATGCTGGCAGAGACGTTGGCTGCGACGCCTACAGTGGCTGCGGACATGCGCAGTGGTCGTCTCTGTCTAGCAGCCACATTTTTCACTCATTGGCAATCGCAAACGATTTCACTGCTGCACAGTGGGCTTAAAGTGATTGATAGCCTGCATAAAGTTACACTTTCAGTACAAATCACTGGGGCCTCATTTCAACTCTTTTATAAAAAAGGTATTTGTTGTTTATTTTAAATATGTTTCCCATCAGTTTATGTTAAAACAGAAATTCGTAGTGTTTGCACCCTGAAACACTTTCTCCGATAAAACACAAACAAAAATTTCTCACTCGCAGCACGCACTCACGATTAGTCATAACAAGATGCAAATAATAATAAAAGAGCTCTTACGGCCACAAAAACTTAAGAGCAGCCAAATTGGCTAGGTAACCCAGTGTGCTCTGCCAGCGCCTTTCGTCTGCCGCGTAACGTGGCGAGCGTGCAAATATTCGTAATTTATGGCGCAACGTCTGCGCCACGTAGTCGTTAACCCAATCATTGCCAGCGTCAGCGTTGGCGTCATCATCAACATCATCAAAATCTGCATCATCATCGCCAGCAGCAGCATCACCGGGCAACATCAACGTTTCATCAGCAGCAGCATGTAGCTGCAGCTGCACATTGGCGAGCAATGGCCAAAATACCTGGCCAAAGTAGGTGACTTGCGGCCAACAGAGTGGACCCGGGTTGTGGGTCATAAAAAAATCCCTTTGACAATTTTCGGTGTATATATGACATAAAGAGCTCGTAACAATGCATGCTTTTAAAGTTTATCACTTATACGCAGTGTGGACCTCTTTCCTGGCTTACGTGTCGTATGAGTAATGCTCGAATATACTTCCCAAAAATGATTTCTAAAGAGGGCTTTAAGAGTGCTTTCAGGAAGAGGGATTTAATATTTTATTGCTTATAAAAACTCTCTTAGGATTAAAGAAAGGGTTAACTTGGGTTTTTCTTGAAATCAGAAGATTGAGATGTCGATAATCATTTCTTTTAAGTAACGTGAACTAGTTTCCTAATTACCTCCGATGGCGGTTCACCCTAGCTTTTGTAGCTCGCAATCACCAAGACACTCAGACACTTGCCAAAGAGGATGCGGGCGTGTGGCAAAAGGATTCATTGCCAAAAGAGGAAGACAGTGGCAGAGGCGGCAGAAGGTGGAAAGCCGCAACCTAATTACATGTGGTAAGGCCCCAGCTATCCATTGGGGCCAGGCAAACACAGCGATGGGAGGGAGAAACGGACAGACAGTCGGAGAGACAGCCCCTTTATGAGTTATGAATCTGTGCTGAGGCACAGCAAATATTTATGGAGCGCTTGTTGTGAATAGCAGGCCAACTGAAAAAGGGAAGGAAAATGGGGGAAAGTGAGGAAATGGGGGGAAAGAACAAGAGTAGAAAGCTTTGCTCCAAGATCGAAAATAGGAATACCCTTTGAGGACGACTGTTTCTATGGCAGTATCATAGTTTGCTGACCAAACTTAACAAAAGTTTTCGGGGAGTTATACAATTTTAATGAGGCATTTGATAGCCTTGACAGATAGATTTCATCAATAAGTATTTTCACCTGATTGTGGCGTAATTGGGAAATGGGAAAGGGAAATCTCAGTTACAAAAGAATAGTAAAAGTAGTAATACCCCCTTTTTTGGAGGGAACTAAAGCGCTGCAGTGGCATCTTTTCTGCCCGAAGTGCAAAGAAAGCCGTTCAGACAATCGATTCGTTCGCAAGGACAAGCACGGCAGCCATCACACGAGCTTAACGCGCAGCATAACGGGCTTTTAATTAATGCAAAATAAAGCACCTACCACCCACCCACCGACCCACCCACTGACAGCCCGCAGCTCACAGCTCACAGCTCACCCATCGGCGTTATGACGAGTGATTTTCAGTGCGAATTCATTTCGGCCCAAGGTTCCAGCAGAGCTGGCAGTGTAGGTCAAGGCCCATTCGGAAAATGGAGCTCGTGTAATCGCATCCTGGCCATAAACTATTAACTTGCTGCTGTCGCCAACGTTTTGTGCGCTGCAACACGCCAATGGAAAATGGAATCACGAGGGGTTAAAAGGGTGCGAAACTGCCGCAGGTGCACTGCGAACTACAGTGCAATTTAAACTAATGATATGCTGGGAAATATCAGAATAATAGCTAGCTGTAGCTTTAAGTCTGAATTGTTATATTAACTACACCTTTCAGAAATACCTTTTCATTTAGTATATTTTGATGCAAATATAGTTCCGAATTATTTAGTTTCATTTTGTTTTTCTTCCAGTGCATTCAAAGAGTGAAAGCAATTTGGCACGAATTTGTCATCTCATCGAAGTGGCAACAAATTTGGCTGCAGCACAACAGCAACAATGGCAATAACAATAACAAGGATGATGGCAGTTACAGAGCTGCAATTTGGGGCCTGCCAAGGGGGAGGGGTGAAAGGCAGGGGGCGTGGCTGGCGACATTTATGTGTGCTGTGCAGCCAAAAGAGTAACCCTAATGTGTCAGTGGGGCAGGTGAAGTGGAGGCAGGACATCCTCCCCGCATTTGGTCCTGTAACTACTGCTCCTGACAGTTTGCTTGCTTAGCCTCGTTGACACGTTTAGTTGTCAACTAACCCACACTCACACTCATACACACGCAATCGTACATTCACACACACACACACACTCGGGGGAAGATGAACACGTGCACAAACACCACAGACACATCCGCAGAGCCTTCTGTGTATATCCGTATCCGTATTCCGTATTCCGTATTCCGTATTCCGTGCAAATCAGAAACAAGTCAAAGGTAAAACGACCGTTGTAGTAATGCTGATGGCATCGTAGGAATCGCATGAATCGTCGCAATCGTAGGAACCGGGCCAAAATGGGAATAGGGGATAGGGGGACACACGGCTCTGTGTGTGGCACACAAAAATGCAAATTCGTTGGCCATTTGGCAAATTGATTTTGCCATTGCAATTGGCCAATATTCAATGAGTGTCCACCGGGGGAAGGACAATAAACAAAGCCCGGCTGAACGAAGCGTTTTATGTCCCTTGAAGTCTCACTTTAGGATGAGAGCTCCCCTTCTGGGGAAAAGGCTTTCCTGTCGAGTGGATAGGATCTGCATTTAATGCTGCTGGTAGACACACTCTTCAACTTCGAGCTTAAACCGATTTAAAGAGCGGAGAACATGTGTAATGCAATGTGCCGAAAGTAATTTGATGCAATTATAGGAGCACGCACACATCATTGATTTTAATTAAGGCACAAGGATTTAATTAGTTTAGTAGTTAGTTATGCAAATATTATAATTTCCCCTTTTTTTTTGGGGTTAAAGATTAAAGCTACCCTGTATGACAATTTATTATACCGAACAATACCGCATAACGCATAACGCAAATTTGATTTAAATTGAAAAGTAATTAAGTGGCCAGCTGCCCAACACCCCTATAATCATCGGGTTTTCACCGCACAATGCGGGTGGCCATTTTCACCCGGCTGCTTTCTAGTTTTCCCCCGCATTTTCACTTGCAGCCCGCAACAAAAACAGTAAACAAAATTTAATCAAAGTTTGGCCGCAACTCGCAATGAAAAGCCAATTCCACTGTGCATTGGCCACATGCGCTCCCGCCATACATAGTAGTAGTACCCCCGATTCCCTATCCCTATCCGCATCCCTATATAGTCATAATCCCCGCGATGCTATCGCTTTCGCTTAGAAGGCCCATTTACCTGGTGGTGCAGATTGTTGTAGTAGCGGGTTATATATGCGGGCAGCAGCTCGGCGGTCTCCAGTCCGATCCACTGGAACACCTCCGGATTCTGCGGCTGCAGCAGGTCGTTTGTGGCACTCGCTGCCGCGGATAAGCTCTCGCAGCAGCGGCAGCAGCAGCAGGCCTCCTGGGGCTGCTCCATTCAGATGGGGGAGCGGCGAAAAGTCGGCGGCTTTTATCAATTTATAATTCGATTATTCGTGGTCCTTGACAGGGCGTTTAAAGTGGGCTATGTTTCACATCGCCTTTGTCGCTGGCGCGTAGCACATTTGAATTTAAATTGAGTTATGGCCGGAGCAGTGCTGCTGCAGTATTTTCGTGTGGCGCCAATTTATGAGCAGGGCAACGGCGCGTCCCCAGCGCCACGGAGCAGCCACGTCCCCGAGATGCCGGATCCGGATCCGTATCCGCATCCGGCTGGCGGTTGCCATTTTGTCAATTGCTCCCATGTGGATTTGCCGCCAAACACGTGGGCTGTCGCCTGCTGACGGAGGTTACGGCGGAAACTCGCGCGCGTAATTGGCACACTCACGCACGCACACACACACAAACACACGCACACAGACAATCACGGCGCACTCCGGGGCTTTCGGCCGGGTCCGGGTCCGGGTCCGGGTAAGCGTCCTGTTAATTGGGTCAAGCGGGACGGAACGGGGCGAAGCGGTGCGATGGGGGGTGTCGACGAAACCCCCTTGAGAAATAGACTCGCGCCACGAACTAGAACTCAAGCCCGAAAAAAAACTCCAACTCCAACTCAAGCTGGCAAGCTGGCAACTCGGAACTCAACTTGACGAAGGTTCTGGCCACAAGTCTCCGGAGAGGGGGAGTGGCGCCTCGTTAGGCGCCATTTTCACACATCAGCGGGCAAGTGGCAAATAAATCCGAGGCGAATAAATCCGCCGACGTTCCCCAGCGGCGACTGCGCCGCAAACTAAACTGAAA